TATTCTAAAGCTACTCTAGATTATGTGAAGTCAATGTTAAAAAATTTAAATTACCATCCTTGAAACCAACATTTTTTAATATTATTTTAATTTCTCTCAATTTTTTCTAAGTTTATCAAACAATAGAAATTTAACAAAATAAATTCTTTATTCTAGTATTAAATGTTTAGGAGATGGCTATTACTAATTAAAGAGTTCTTTGATGTTATTTTCAATTATTTATTTATATACATTCTAATTTTTCAATATCTTCTAATCCTATTCTTAAATCAAATTTCTAATTCTTATAGTATTTTCCAAAAATTAATAGATTATCTTTCTTAATTTATTTAATTATTTCCTATAATTAAAATTAAAAAATTTACAAGAAATTTTGGAAACATTTTAATTATTTCATAAAGCATGATTTAAGCACTAAATGGCACTGAAATAATGTTATCTAAATAATCTTGATCATCTGATAATGAGGGTTTTATAATCTGATATTTATTAATAAGATAACTTAGCTTAATACATGTACTTTTGGATAGACGAAAAGAAATCTATTATCTAAGTACATTAATTTGTTCAGCTTTATTCACTCTTTTTATTGTTATGAAAAAGCAAGAAAGAAATAATACATTTTACTATTAGTAGGGGCAGTGTTCCTTTTTTTTAGCGATTCATTGAATATAGTATTAAAAGTTTAAAGGAAAGAATTTTTTGAATTAACTGTATTAAATATATGTAAATAATAAGCAAGTGCATATGTATATTATTATGTTGGTTACTATTATATGATTTGGAGTCTATTTGTTCATGCAAAAGCATATAATGATCATTTTTTATTATTATTGAAAATGAAGATGAATATTTGAATTAAAATCTTTTATTTAATTAAAAATGGTTGTCAAATCGCTTGCTCACAAAAAAATTGTACATAAGAGAACAAAGAGATTTGTTAGATTCGAATCAGAAGACTATCCTCATAAATTAAAACCAAGTTGGAGAAGACCAAGAGGTATTGATAACAGAGTCAGAAGAAGATTTAGAGGTAATAGACCTATGCCAAAATCAGGATATAGAAGCGATAAAAAAACTAGGTATATAAATAATAAAACGATTTAGATATTTAGACTAAGCTGGTTTCAGAAAATTATTAATAACTAATGAAAAAGATCTTGAATTATTGCTTACTAATAACAGAACATTTGCAGGTGAATTAGCTCACAATCTCTCTGCCAGAAAAAGAGCAACACTTGTTAGAAGAGCTGCTGAACTTAATGTTAGATTGACAAATGGCAAAGGTAAAGTAAGAGCAGAAGAAAAAAAAGAATGATTTCTTTTTTTCAATATAATAGACACATATATTAAATTATTCATAAATATCATTTATCTAAATTTAAAGTCTTTCTTACCTGATAGAAAAAAAATTAGATTAAAACAAAATATTTCTGGATTTATTTTATTTTTAATACTTAGCTTTAGTTTTCAAGAATTAAAAGAATGTCTAACTACCAGGTTATGAATTACATAATATGCATCCATTTTTTTCGATATAAGAAAAATTAGATAATAATTGATTCAACCATAATTCTTAAGTAATTTTTGCTGGAGAGAAAGTCTGAACATATAATCTAATTTAATCTTCTAAACTTAACCCTCCTAAAATAAAAATAGGTTATTTTTAATATTTTCTTAATTAAGAAAATTAATAAAGTAGAGATTCCATAACATATGAAACTTAAAATCCTTATTAAAATCCAGTCAAAATATTTTTTTCATTTTAGACTTTATATTTTTTTGTTAATTTTTCAATAAGAGGATCTAAATCATATAAAAAGACTTGTTTAAAGTTTTCTTCTTCTTCTTTTTCAGATTAATTCATTGAATTGATTGTTTTTTCAACATCTAACTCTTTAACTTTCTAGTTTGGAGCAATATTTAAAATAACAATATCTGGTTTTTTCTCTGATATCTAGTATCAACAATACTTTCATAATTATTTTAAAATACTCCTTAAATTCTTAATATAATCCCATTTTTATGAGTTAATATTGCAGCACTGTTCAACTATTGAGAATCTTCTTTAATCATTATATTCCATTCTTCACTTTTTTTTATTTGATAGATATCTGATTTAACAAATTTAAAATTTTAAGTATATTTTAAAGAAGAAATATGTTCATCTATTTAAATTAAATCATTAAAATCAACCTACTTTGCTAATAATAATAACAATGTTACAAAGACTCTACCTATTATATACTCTATCTATTGTTAATTAAAAAATTAAGAATGCCTCTTATAAAATTAATATATCTCTCTATATAATCTAAAATCGTTAGCTTAGAGGTTTTGAGTTAGAACTTTTAATAAATCAACTACAATTTAAGCAGAACCCAAAATGGATATGTTGCAATTATGAATAATTTATTTAGAAATTTCTACAATAGTTTTAGTATTCACATTATTTAACAATTTAGTATTTTCTAAAGCCAATATTGTGTATGAAATATCATTTGCATACACTAAACTTTCTTCCACCTATTTGATTTTTTCAACATAGACATTCTTAATGAACTAATAAAGCCTTGCTTTTTCTCTGTATACCTTATAAAAAGTAAAATATTTATTTAGCATAATTATAAATTTTATAGTATTTTTAATTGATTTCAAAATAATAAATTAAAAAAAACTTATGATAGTGAAAAATGAAGTGACACTTGCTTCAACTTTCAATAAACATTACTTTGATTATACCAATATAAATTAAATAAATTACATTATATTTTACATTCTAATACATATGTTAATTTAGACAGAACCTCTCTAAATTATTAAAATCCCTCAATTAATTCTTCATTATCCAAAAGACTACAAAAAATTAAGTATAAAAATAAAAAATAAAATGTAACGTCCAGATTATAAAAAGATCAACTATTGTAATTTTTATTTTTTAAATTGATTAACGAAGAATATAATCAAATAGATATTTCAAAAATTTTTAGTTATTAACTACTCGGATCTTTTTTTACAGAGAGAAAAATACTAAAAATTAATATTAACATTATATATGTTCTTTTACAATAATTAATTGACTGGATCTTAGATCAGAATTTATAAAACTAAATATCTTCGAATTTATAAAATTACCTCAACTAACTCTTAAAAACTGATGTATCTATGATTTTGTAAATTAAAAAGAAGATATATACAAAAAGAATTTAAATTCTTAAAATAATTCAAATATTATTTTACTATTAAAATATCTTTGATAAGATCCTATTCTTTGTTTAAAGTATAACTATATAAATATTAATTATTATTATTTTATAAACATTCGGTTCTTTCATCAACTCTTCGCTATATTGTAAAATTTTGCATTACATTTTTCATATTTTCAATTAAATTATCAATCCATCAATTTCAAGTTTCAATACTACATCTATTTATCATCGCAATTCTTCTTTTATATCGAAAACTTCTTTGATCATAATATTTTTATTTGATTCTAGTTGAATTTAATAATATAAAGAATAAATTCCATGCTTTTAATAACATAATGAAACTAAGAAAAGAATTATTAATGAACAAATAATTCAATTAATAATTCAGGATTGAAATATTAAAAGGAAAAAACTATTCATCAAGGACAATTAATAAAAAATTAATAAATGGCTAAATAGTTTTACTTAATTTTTTCTGATAAAAAAATAAAGCTGAAAAGAAAAGTATATATCCTTGGAAGGAGTAAGGCTTAATCATCGATAGTGATTAAAAATGAATCGATTAGTAGATAACATGCTAAATTAATTGTTGGCAAATCTAGTATTACTATATAAGACTTGGGATCTGCTAATGGAACATAAATTAATAATAAAGCAATAAAATAAAATTAGCTAGTTTTGCTAAGAGAGGGAATGAAAATAAAATTAGGGGAATATGAATCAGAACTAGAAATATAATATGAAACTATTGATAGTGATATCGAACTTTCCAGATCTAGAAGCAGATCTGATTCAAAGAAAAAAACCTTATAAAACAAAAGTAATCAAGAATAACAAAAAAAGTAAAAAATTTGGAATATGGGAGGATTGAGTAAAGAAAATTAAGACAAACTTAAAAAATTAATGGGAGCNTATATGTTCTTTTACAATAATTAATTGACTGGATCTTAGATCAGAATTTATAAAACTAAATATCTTCGAATTTATAAAATTACCTCAACTAACTCTTAAAAACTGATGTATCTATGATTTTGTAAATTAAAAAGAAGATATATACAAAAAGAATTTAAATTCTTAAAATAATTCAAATATTATTTTACTATTAAAATATCTTTGATAAGATCCTATTCTTTGTTTAAAGTATAACTATATAAATATTAATTATTATTATTTTATAAACATTCGGTTCTTTCATCAACTCTTCGCTATATTGTAAAATTTTGCATTACATTTTTCATATTTTCAATTAAATTATCAATCCATCAATTTCAAGTTTCAATACTACATCTATTTATCATCGCAATTCTTCTTTTATATCGAAAACTTCTTTGATCATAATATTTTTATTTGATTCTAGTTGAATTTAATAATATAAAGAATAAATTCCATGCTTTTAATAACATAATGAAACTAAGAAAAGAATTATTAATGAACAAATAATTCAATTAATAATTCAGGATTGAAATATTAAAAGGAAAAAACTATTCATCAAGGACAATTAATAAAAAATTAATAAATGGCTAAATAGTTTTACTTAATTTTTTCTGATAAAAAAATAAAGCTGAAAAGAAAAGTATATATCCTTGGAAGGAGTAAGGCTTAATCATCGATAGTGATTAAAAATGAATCGATTAGTAGATAACATGCTAAATTAATTGTTGGCAAATCTAGTATTACTATATAAGACTTGGGATCTGCTAATGGAACATAAATTAATAATAAAGCAATAAAATAAAATTAGCTAGTTTTGCTAAGAGAGGGAATGAAAATAAAATTAGGGGAATATGAATCAGAACTAGAAATATAATATGAAACTATTGATAGTGATATCGAACTTTCCAGATCTAGAAGCAGATCTGATTCAAAGAAAAAAACCTTATAAAACAAAAGTAATCAAGAATAACAAAAAAAGTAAAAAATTTGGAATATGGGAGGATTGAGTAAAGAAAATTAAGACAAACTTAAAAAATTAATGGGAGCAAAAAATGAATCAGATGATGATTAACAGGAGAAGTAAAAGGAAGAAATTGATAAAAGAAATAAAGAATTAGAATTATAATACAAAAGGGCTATGTAAAGATAAAAATAAAAAGGAATTGGATTATGAAATATATTTATTTATAATGAAACATAATCAAATACCCACAAATTCTTTAAAAACCATGTTAGTTTTTATTGATTTATTTTAATATAGAGCATTTATAAATTAAGCTAAAGCTTCTTATCGATATGCGATGACATCTTATTATTTTTAATTAGGTTCATTAGGTAAGACAGGTAGTTGGTATTACAATTCTTATAACTAAAAATATAATTTAATCCTACCTTTTTGTATAAATCTTTAAAATCATTATACCTTTTTTAAACTGATGACACTGTCTACCCATTTATTGATCCCTCAATTTTATAATACTAATTTATTATTGTTTCATACAGTGATTTATTAAATAGTTTTAACATCCTTAATTACAAATTTATGGCCATTACCCATTGACATTTATATATTTGATGAAAATCGATCATTACTTCTTTCGAAAAATTATGATTAATCATAAGAGGAAGAGGCCATGCTATTTTTAGGATCAAAACTATCATCATTATAATCTTTTTCTAAGTAACTTTGTTTTGATGTTATACTTGCCTTTCTGATTTCCAAAAAGTCATCAAAAGTTTTATCTTTTAATACTTAATCAATATTAGTCTCTTCTAAAATTTTTAATTATAATTTACTATCTTCTTCTATTTGAATGGGACCTGAAGTTTCTTCTAAAAATTTATCTAAAGCAGGACATATCATTTGATGCTTAACTATAAATTATAAGAACTTTTCAAGTGCTTCACCTCTACTTGCTACATCTTTACCATTCAATCTTTCATTTGGTTTTCTTTCAGGTATTTCTGGAAAAGAATGATCTACATATTTCTATTATAAAGCCAATCTTAATTAATGAAATTCTTTCAAATTATGCTCTGTTCTAACTTACCTTTATTTAGAATTAGAAAAATAGAAAATTTTAAAATAAATAAATCTTTTTCCTTATTTTTTAATTTCTTCAAATCCTTCAATTCTTATGCTTTGAATTTCATATTTAGATTTTGCACTTATTTCTTATTATTAATTTAATTTTTCTTAATTGACTATCGATTCTTAATTATTTTAAATTATTTCACTTTCTAATGGTTATTATATTTTTTATTATTACTAAGTGTTTTCATTTCCTTACTTTAATCTATTTAATTTTTCATCTAATTATTTATGCATATCCATAATTTAACTCATCAATTCTTTTTATTCTTTCTCTTTTTAAATAGCCTCATCTTCTTTCTTTAACCCATAAGTAGGATCTATTAGTCCTGATTATTCTTATTTTAGTTTTTATATACTAGAAGATCCTAATGAACTTTAAGAGCCATCTTCTTTATTTATTTCGTCTAACGAATCTAAAAATGATTGACTTTTTTTGGGTGTTTTAGCTATTGATTATCTTTAATTAGACTAATTTTGAACAGGATTAGATATACTATTTTATTTTGAATTTTATTAAGACAATTAATCATCACTCACTAAATGATGTGAAAGTGTATTAAAACTTATAAAATTATTATCTTCGCTATTCTTACTTATTTTTTAATAATCAAACTTTGGAAAGAATATACTTATTATATTTATAACAAGCATAATTATAAAATTGCATAAATATACAGATGCTTCTACAGTTAATTCATCCAATCCCTTATTTTCTTATTCTAACTTTCTTTCTACTCCAAATACTATTCCTGATGTTAATTATATAAGTAAAATAATGGCTAAAGCAAATCGCAATTATCTTAAAAATGAGGAATATAATACTTAGAAAATTTAAAAATAGAGCGGTAATCAATATAAAATAAGAAAGCACATGTTACCCACAAAAATATATTTGATATTTCCATAAATCCAAAACTATTGTCCCACATGATTATCTTTGATATATGACTTTTAATACAGATACTATGCTTGCTATTATTAAGATAAAAAATCCTACTAGGACTCCTACAAACTTTGCAAATACTGGTAAATTGCCATCACTTCGATAATTTCTATTATTTTCTTATTACTTATTCTTACATTGAATAGTCTCTAATGACTTGACTTATTCTTTTAAATTCTCTTAAATAATATTCCCTATTTTTTAACAATATTCCCAAAACTATAAGTAAGCCAAATATGTTCAAAACATATATAATTGTGCAACTTATATAATTATCTGCACAATACATAATGTTTATAGATTAAATATTTATAATATCATTTTTCTTCCAACCTGTATAAATGAAGAGGAATCTAGACTGATTCATTTCCTAATTCTGCCTTTATGAATCCAAATTCATTACTCATAACCCATTATCTAAACACCATTGGGTCCATCGATTACTTATTTTATATTATAGAATACACTCTATTATGCAAATTTTCTAAAGATCTCTTGAACTTAAACATAAAGTTTGTTTAGTTAACCTTAAGCCCATGCATTAATTTTTGATTATGTTAATTAATATGGATTCTATCCTGAACATACTTTCTCTCCAAGTAATCTAAAAGCACTCAACCAACTATCCTTTACAAAATCATAAAATTCTTAGAATTCTATTTTATTATCTTTGTTTTTATCAATCATTTAAAATGAATCTAACTTTATATTTATCAATTACAAATAATTCTTTTATCCTTGTTATTAATCAATGTTGTAATCCCTTCTAAATATTCTTTTTCAGTTATGTATCCCTCCTAACTCTACAACTTATAATTTAATCATACTTTATCAAATAAATGATATAGTCTATCTGCTAAAGGAGTGTCTCTCAACCTTTTCAATTAAATACTTTCAAATATTCCTAAGGCTTCATTAAATTTATCTCTAGTTAATCTTCCTTATGGAGATGCTTATTTGAAAGCTCTCTTTATTTATTCTTCAACTTCTTAAGCTGAACTTTATCTTTAATAGTTGTTATTGTAATTTGGATCAACAACTGTAATTGATGATTATCCCATTAATAATATAATTATTATAATATAATTATTCCTTCATGAATCAAACTAATTTTCATTATACAAATATAAAGGCTCATTCACAATTTCTTTATTGATTAATTTAAATTACATCAAGTACTAATCAAATATTTCTAATCAATTATTGATGTTTAACCATTCTTTTAAAAAAAATTTTATTATTTCTCTTTGAAATTTATTTCCTCAAAATTTAAAAAAAAATTAAAATTCTTAATTTTTAAAATCTAATGAATTGAAAAATTGATGAGGGTTTTCTCAAGAAAAACCTTTTGATTTGCAATTTAAGAACAAAAATGAAAATTATTTAAAAAAAAGAAAGTTAATATTGGCTGTAAAAAATAATAAAAAGAAATGTAGAATCAAAAAAAAGGATTAAAAGCCTTAATATTTTTTATTAATTAATGCTTGCTTTTTTCATTTATTCATTATGATTTCAAATAATTTTCAATAAAAAAGTAATAAATTGAATTTATGAATTGATTAAACTCACTCAAATCATCATAATGGTAATTTATATATTGTTAATCCTGTGATTATTTTTTAAAAAAAGTTAAGAATCTAAATTTTATTTAAAACAGATTAATTGAAAATAGAATATAGTAATATAATGTATTTTTATTTCATTAACATTTTAGTAGAATAAATATTTAAATCATAATCGAAACTTGAATTGAATAATAATATAATTACAATTTAATCAAGAATTTATTATTATTTATGATAAGCATTATAAATTCAATCCATTTCTTCTATATCTTCATAATAGTCAAATTCCTCCAATGCAGCAGAATCAACAGTCATGTCAATTCCTTATGATTAGGATTATTACATGTATTCATCTGACTCTTAAAATTAATCTTATTACAATTAAGAATCTCTCAAATCCTTTAATAATGTTATATTTATACATCTCCTTCTAATTATTCTTCAAGATCTTCATTATCAAATTTTTCATCTTCATAATTTCTATGTTCAAATTTTTTTGCTTAGCCTTTTCTCTATTCAGCTTCAAGTTTTTCTCTTTCTTATTATTTAAGTAATTCTTATTATTTCTATTGTTCTTTCAACTTTTCTTATTCTTTTCTTTATTATTCTTATTTTTATTATTCTCTGAGTTTTTCTTATTCTTTTCTTTATTATTCTTATTTTTATTGTTCTTTCAATTTTTCTTATTCTTTTCTTTATTATTCCTGTTTTTATTATTCTAATCTTTGTTATTCTTATTTTTATTATTCTAGTTTTTATTATTCTTGTTATTTTTTTAATTCTTCCATTTTTCTTTATTCCTCTTGCTGTTTTCTTAATTACTCTTTTTTCTATTCCTCAATTTTCTTTTGTTCCTCTTATTATTATTTTCTTAATTCATCTTATCTTCGTTATTCTTCTTGCTTTTTTTATTCTTCTTATTTTTTTAATTCTTCTTATTTTCGTAATTCATCTTATTTCCTCTATTCTTAAAGCTTTTAGTCTTGTAATTTTTATTATTGTTATTATTATAATTATTGTTATTAGACATCTTTTGGAGAAGGTTATGCAATTTTTTGTTATTAGCCTTTTTCTTCTCTAATAAATAATAAAATTTAAAAATTACGATTTTTTTTCAGGTTATCTATTTTTTAATAAAAAGTATAATAATGGTTTAGTAGAATCATTAGCATCTATATTTAATTTTTTAGCTATTTAATCACGATTAATGTCTTCTCTTAAATTGCTTTCACTATAAAAATATAATTGATTTCAATATACCTTGAGAATATTGAATTAGTGTAATGCATTTCAAAAAATAATAAAAATTCTTTTATTAATTCTAACATATCTCTTCCACATCCTAATTCATAAATTGTTTAGGCTTTATTATTTTCCCAAAAAAAAGGAGATGGTTTTTTATTATTGCCTTCCTATTAATCAACTACATTAAAGACTGACGCTCTTATTTAAGCTCTAATCTTAGCTAAAGATCCATTAGCTTCAAGAGATTGTATAACTAAATTCTTAAGTTCTGTTAACTCCTGCATTATTAAAATTTGAAAATATATATATTAAATAATTAGTTTTTGATTAAAAAAATTTATAACGCAGGCAATAATCTATTAGTTTATCTAAAGATATGTTAAGTATTATTGATTTTAGATATGATCTTAATTTGTATTTTAATTAAATAATTTAAACTATAATAAATATAAAATAAGTTCAACGTTTTGTTAAAGGGCTAACTGCTCTGAATTAATTTATGATGTTTTACTTTAGTGAACTTATATTGTTACTTGTGTTGTTATAGACTTTTGTTTATTCTTAATCAGGTTTATCTGGTCTAAGCTTTTAATTTTACACAAGTTTTTAAAGTTCATTGAATTGAACAGTTTTTTATATATTACTAATATTAGAGTTTTAGGTTTAATTGTTTGAATGTTATTATATTTTCGAAAAAATAAAGTTTTTAATATTTTGAGCATTTGAATTAGGATTAGTATTTTCATTGTTAAAATTTCCTAAATTTCCTTATGTAATTAAAGTTTACTATTAATTATTATTATGAAAGCTTTCGTTTTGTTCTGTTTGAAGCCGATTATTTAAGAAAGATTTTTAAAAATTTTGATTTTTACTTAAAGGCATAGGAGAAACAGTTTATTATTTAGTAAATGGTGATTAAGTAGCACTAATAGTTTTAATTTATTATGTTAGAGGTGTTTATTTATTAAGTTAATTTTTGAATTATAAATTAGGACTTTAAAAAGGAGAATTAGTAGTTTTAGTATTACCTCTTGAATTAGATGGTCTAGATAATTCTAATTCTTCAAGAGCTTTTTAGATTGGTCTTTTATCTTCAAAATCTTCCTATTTATAAGTATATCCAACAAAAGTCATTTCTTTTTTTAAATTCTTTTAACCTTTATTAATCCAAGGTTCTTCCTCATCATATTTATCAAAATTGCTAGTATCTAATTCACTTCTAATAGTTGGTATATAAGGAGCTTTCATATCTCTTATTTTAATAATAGATAAACCACCAAACCAAGGATGTCTTATAATTTAATCATAAGTTAAACGAGTACTAGCATCACAAACTAACTTACTAATTAAATCTTTAGCTAATTAAGAGACTTTTGGTTCTTCTGGAAATGCAAAACATTACTAAAATCTAATTATTTTTTAACAAGTTGTAGAAGGATCATCAGTATAAAACGGAGGGTATCCTACAAGCATTTCATATAAAATAACTCCAACACTCCACCAATCAACTGTTCCATCATAACCTTATTATAAAAATACTTCTGGAGCTATATAATCAGGTGTACCAACTGTTGAAAATGCTTTCTATAAAGTAATTTTATGTTATATTATACTTCTCTTCTTGTTTATTTTGATTTAAATTTTTATGAAAAAACTGGTTTATCAAAATGAAGTTCAGCATCTTTACATAATCCAAAATCAGATAATTTTATATGTCCATAATTATCTAATAAAATATTGTCTGGTTTTAAATCTCTATGTATAAATCCTAATTTATGAACAGATGCAACAGCTTAAACTAATTCAGCCATATAAAAACGAGCTTCTGCTTCTGATAATATATCCTTTTTCATTAATAATGTCATTAAATCTCCACCTGGTAAATATTCCATTACTAAATATAAATTTTTTTCATCTTAAAATGAACATTTCATTTCTACTATCCAATTATTTCCTTTTGCTTCTTCTAATACTTTTCTTTCATTTGTTACATGACCAATTTAATTCTTAAAAATCATTTCATGCTTTTTCATTTTCTTTACAGCCACTATTTATTAAGAAGGTACATGTCTACATAATCTAACTTCACCAAAAGCTCCTCTTCCTATTATAGCTAGAGGTTAAAAATCTTCTATGCTCAATTTAGTCCGCCTATTAAATTTGAAATTTTGAATACTTTTTTCTCATTTATTCTGCTTCTTTTTTTAAAATTTCTTTTTTTATAACTTCTTACTCCTTTGGATTCATATGCAAAGCATCCATTAATTTTGATAATTACTGCCAACCTTCTAATTATTATTGTTCTTCCTATATTTATTTTGCATATTTCCCTATTAAAAATTAATATTAAAATAATACTTTCTATGTATAATCTACAAGCTTCGACTCTATCTCGAGTAGCATTTGAAATTTATATTTCTTTTTTTCCAATCATTAACGATATTTATATTAATTTTTATTTATTTTGAATTTATATAAAAAATAACAAACATATTCAATTATTTTATTTTATTAAAATTCTATGTATATATAACATTTCACTCTAGAGTCTTTAATTTATTATCAATAAATAATATTCTTCTATCCTGATGAAACAAAAATATCAAATCCTTATTCGAATTTATATAATTATATATTTTTCTTACGAATAAATTAATAATTCATTTTATTTATTGACCAAAAACTATAATCTTACTAATAATTGAATCCAACTTACTTAAAGTATAACAATCAATTTATTTTATATATATCTTAATATTTTCTAAAATTCTTATAACTAAAATAATAATTTTTCATTTTGATTTTGGTTCTTTTATTCTCTAAAATTAGTAGCTATTATTAATATATCCATTTTATTCATCAAGATAGCAAATCATTATAAATAGGTAAATTAAGAATTTCGTAAATCTTCTATTAAGGCAGATAAAAATCATGAATCTATCTCATTTAAAAGCTCTTTTTTAAATAAAATAGCATAATTGATTATCCAACAAAAGTATAGTGAATCAAAGTTTTGGACAAAGCTATTTTAATTTAGACTAATTCAAATAATACTATTTTTACTAATGCAAATAATACTATTTTTGCAATCTTCATTAAAAATAATATTTTTTAAAAGTCTTACTTTTCTAAAAAACTCTTCATTATCAAATCCTGTTATAATTAACTTCAATTAATTTTAATATCTACCTTAATTAATATCGTTTTCCTTATAATTATTATTTGAGTTTAAATCGATACTTGTCATTTCCTAAAGTGTATCCTTAATTTAAACAATATCTTTATTGCATAGGCATTTTTGGCTACAATATTTTTCAATATATTATCCAATTTATTTTTAAGGATGACAAAATTTCTTATTTATAAGAAAATCATCAAAATCTATAAATCAAAAAACTAAATTTATTTCATCTTTTAGAAAATCTTAATTTACTTAGGCTGTTTATATCATCCAGTAAAGTAGAAAGCAATTTTTCAATTAATTTATCTTTATATTTTTTACTTTAATTGAGATTAAAACATTTTTAGAACGACTTTATTCTTTTTTAATAATTACATAAGCTTATTTTTAAAATACTGAAATTTTATTTCTTTTTTTTAATAAATTTTTAACCATGCAATTTTGTAAATAAATAAATTATTATTTAAATAGATTTCTTTTAATAATCTGCTGACTTTTTGGACATAATTCACAATTACGAGTTGAGAAACAAAATTCTTTTAATTTATTTAAATAAAATTCTTCAAATACTTAATTATTTATTTCTGAAATATTAGTATACTTGATTTTAAACTTTATTAAAATATGCTCTCTTTTTCTAGTCGTTTTATTTCTCATTTTATCAATATAAATAATTAATGAGAAGTAATAATTTTTAGTAAAATCGAGTTTGAAATATATCATAGTAATAAATCAATTCTAAAATTCTAAATCTCTATATTAATAATAATAGAAACTTTTCCTGTTAAAGTAGATTTATAAATTAACTATTCTTGCTCTGTTAAATAAATGAAAATAATAAATATGTAAAAAATAAAAAATAATCTTAGCAAATTATTAAACGATGAAAGCGTTTGCTTTGATTAATCATACTCTTTTATATTGTTTATTCGGATGTTTTAATTTCTCTAATATCTTGCAATGACCTTACAAGAAATAAACGATAACAATAATTTGAAAGATGGACACTTTTCAATATTTTTTTAAATTCTCAAACTATCCATTTTAGATATTGACTTGCTGCCTGATTATATTGGATTTATTACTACTTTCTTTAACTTTATAGTATTTCTGTTATTCATACTTTAAATAGTCTATTTGAAAAGAAATTTTTAAAATCTGATGAGAATTTTAAATGGATATTTAGCTCTTTTACCTTAAATAATGTGTTTTTTATTTGTTTCATCAACATTTCGATCTTTTTTATTGAATTCAGAAACCCACATTGTAATTTACATTTGGGGAATATTTGATGTTAGTTTAATATTTTCATTATCTTTAATGTCTTGTATTTTGTTTAGAAATATTAATTTTAATTAATCAACTTATACAAGGGATTAAAGCATATTAAAGATTGTATCTTAAATATTTTAATTTGTAACTTAAATTTTATATTTCTATCATGATTAAGAAGAAATATTAATATTAAAACAACTTTCAGCATTAATGTGGATAGGCTTAGAGTAAATTGATATTTATTTATACATGCCTTATAGTTTGTATGATAGTAAATTGATTTTCACATTAAATTAAATTAAATTTGGATGTAATTTGATAAATTTGATCCTTAATAATTTATCATAAATAATTGAAACAACATTTTCACAGTATATTTATTACTTTATTTTTTCATCTATGTGTTTCTACTTGGGAGAAACATTCTATTAAAGATTATTTTATGCAAAGGGTTTAGATACTTTTACTAAATCAAGTGAATAAGATCAACATTTGTAAATTAAAGTCCTAAGGTAGTTTTAAATTTAGGCTGAATCACAATTATCACAAACTGAAAAGCTCCTTTAGATTGGAATGGTTAATTAACACATTATACATTGCAAACGGAAATGTGAAGTAAATAAATTTCTAATTTTAGTAGTCATTGGATAGTTCTGATGTTATTACATGTATAGTAAATTAATAAGTATAAAGTAAAGAGGATGAACATCTTTTTTTATTTAAAGTTAGATATTTAGGATTCTAGAATAAACAATATTCATAAAGTTTAGCAAGACTCAAACATTATTAAATTAAATATAAAGCAGAATTATCTTGGTATTTTAATTTAATTTAAATTGATATATCAAATAAATTAAGATAGGAAATACTGAAACAATAATCTTAAAAGATTTTTATTTAGGATACTTAGAGTGATAATTTATCTTCTGAAAATTTAGTTCATATAGATATTTAATCAGATAAATTGATTCTAAATCTAAGAAAGACCTTATAAACGAAATTAGATGTTTGGAGAAAATAACTAAAAGGTTTTAAAACAATTAGATAGCTTCAACTAGAATTGATAAAGTTAGCAGAGAAATTAGAAAAATTAAGAAGAAAGTTCAAACTAATTATAAATAAAGATGTTTATGAAGTGAATATATCTTAAGTAAATAATCTATATCACTTAAGAATGTTATCACTATATTATTCAATTATTATGAATGATTAACTTCATTCATTTTTATGCGAAAAGTAATATTATCTAATATATTGTTATGAATAAACTCTTTAATAAGATTAGTTAAATTCAATAGCTCTTGTACATGATAAAGTAGCTATAGTTACAGTTAGTTTAGTAAAAAGTTTGGGATCAATATTGAATTCTAATAAATAGTAATTAGGATATATATTTAATTACAAAAAAGTAGAAGAATTTCAAAACATCATTCATTTAAATTAACTTATGCCTGATTTTATAGCTTCTAAACATAATCAAATGCTCACTAACTTTTTAATTAAAGGTGATTCTCCTTTTTTTCAAGAATTCAGAATGATTTTTGGAAGATCAAAAGAAAATTATGTTTTTCCATTGTAGTTGAAGCTCGCAAACGATTTTAGTTATATAGATGATTATGTAATTAAAGGAATTTTTTTTTCAGGAGGTAAAAGATATGATTATATTTTATTTGATCAAAATGGAAAAGTCTTAGGAATTACTAAAGAAATATATAGAGATTTATTTACATATCATGAAGAATCTTTTACTGATTTAAACTCTTTGTATAATATCTGTTTTTTATATTACTTTATTCCAGATTTATTTGAAATTGTTAAAAGATGTTATTAAAGATAAAAATAGTAATAAGAAAATATAAATCTATAAGAGGATACAATTTTTATATAATAAACAAATATAAAAGAGTTTCACGAAAGTTTTTAATAATAGATGAAATATCATCTTCGAGATTTATATTGTATTTGGAATATAAAAAAAAAATAATCTTTGTCAAGTAAATATACAACATCAAACTCTAAAGATTAAAATTAATTTATAGAAATCAACTTATTAAATGATGAATATGCTAAATTTGCGTCTGAATTCATTAATTAAAATGTAGAAATTATATTTATTCATAGATTACAAAATAAAAAACTTGTTTTTTAAGATTTACTTTATTTTTTCAAAGAAACAATGCAGATGGATTTTTTATAATGCAAATATAAGATTATCGAAAACATGATATAGGTGAGATAGCTACTGAGTTATTTGCTTTATAAGATATTGATTCAACTATGAAAAAATCAACTTTGAGACATCTTAAAGGTAATAATAATAAAAATGATTTAGATTTCATTGTTTCTAAAAGAAGATATGGAGATTAACGCACTTTACATAATGCTTTTATTAAAAGAAAAATGTATTCAAAATAATTAGTATCTATGAATTAATCAGAAATTTTAATGACACAATAACTTTCATCAACAAATTATACACCAAAGGCTTGTTTTATTAAACCTGAAATTGCTCTCAATTCTGAAATGGAATCAGTTTAGGAAGTTAAAAATTCAAGTTCAGAAGAATCAAAATTTCTAGATGAATTTATGTCTAATGAAGATACAAAAAAGCAAAATTAAAAACATCAAAAGAGGATTAAATCATTTAGTAAAACCAATAATTTTTCAGATCCTGAACAAAATCCAAACAAATCTTAAAATTCTAGTGGGCTTACTAAAATATCTAACAATTAATCTTATTTCTTTTAAATTGTATTTAAATAAAAGTCTTTAATTCCAAAAAGCATACTTATTTTATGGTTTCTTGTCTATAGTGTTAATTTTATAAGTATTATAGGTTTTAGTTATACAAACTATCATCTAATTTATAATTATCAAGAATCATAATTGTAAACTCAATAATTTATGGGACCATTAAGATTTAACAGATTTTTTTGTAAGACTTTATCAATTAGTTGGATATTTATTTTAAATAAATATGACATATTAAATAATAGTTAATACTCAATATAGTAAAGTATATATTAATAATTCCTTTTACATTAAGTTGTTTTTACCAATTTAACTTAATTGTATCCAATATTTATTTAAATGGAATCTGATGGGTCATTATAGAATATTACTTTACAATANTACAACATCAAACTCTAAAGATTAAAATTAATTTATAGAAATCAACTTATTAAATGATGAATATGCTAAATTTGCGTCTGAATTCATTAATTAAAATGTAGAAATTATATTTATTCATAGATTACAAAATAAAAAACTTGTTTTTTAAGATTTACTTTATTTTTTCAAAGAAACAATGCAGATGGATTTTTTATAATGCAAATATAAGATTATCGAAAACATGATATAGGTGAGATAGCTACTGAGTTATTTGCTTTATAAGATATTGATTCAACTATGAAAAAATCAACTTTGAGACATCTTAAAGGTAATAATAATAAAAATGATTTAGATTTCATTGTTTCTAAAAGAAGATATGGAGATTAACGCACTTTACATAATGCTTTTATTAAAAGAAAAATGTATTCAAAATAATTAGTATCTATGAATTAATCAGAAATTTTAATGACACAATAACTTTCATCAACAAATTATACACCAAAGGCTTGTTTTATTAAACCTGAAATTGCTCTCAATTCTGAAATGGAATCAGTTTAGGAAGTTAAAAATTCAAGTTCAGAAGAATCAAAATTTCTAGATGAATTTATGTCTAATGAAGATACAAAAAAGCAAAATTAAAAACATCAAAAGAGGATTAAATCATTTAGTAAAACCAATAATTTTTCAGATCCTGAACAAAATCCAAACAAATCTTAAAATTCTAGTGGGCTTACTAAAATATCTAACAATTAATCTTATTTCTTTTAAATTGTATTTAAATAAAAGTCTTTAATTCCAAAAAGCATACTTATTTTATGGTTTCTTGTCTATAGTGTTAATTTTATAAGTATTATAGGTTTTAGTTATACAAACTATCATCTAATTTATAATTATCAAGAATCATAATTGTAAACTCAATAATTTATGGGACCATTAAGATTTAACAGATTTTTTTGTAAGACTTTATCAATTAGTTGGATATTTATTTTAAATAAATATGACATATTAAATAATAGTTAATACTCAATATAGTAAAGTATATATTAATAATTCCTTTTACATTAAGTTGTTTTTACCAATTTAACTTAATTGTATCCAATATTTATTTAAATGGAATCTGATGGGTCATTATAGAATATTACTTTACAATATTCTGCCAATAATATTGAGTAGGTTGAATTTACTAGATTATTATATTTTATGGAAGAAGTTATTCATTATTTAGTGTAGATAAGTAATTATGATTACAGCAATTATAAATAATATATTGATAGATAATTTATTGATAGAATGTTCTTGATTGAATAAAATTTACCAGAAATTATTAACATTAATTCCAATCTACTTTTAAAATTAAAAGATAATACTGTTATTCTGTAAAAATTTGAAAGTTCCGTATTTATTATTGAACATTTGATTCACACTGCAATTATCTTTCTTATTATGTTGGTGCAATTAGTATAATGGAATAATATTGAATAATAAAATAGAAATTTAGCATTACTTGTAGGAAGAGTAAAAGATAGTGATATTGAAACTGAAATCTGTAAATATTTATCATTATTTTTAGTAAGAGCCCATTTAGTTTATGTTGCACTTAGTATTTAAGGTGGAGAAGATTCTTGGAAACGTTATAATTATTATAATTTTGGATTTTAACAAGATTCCTAACTTTATTATCCAAAATAGAAATTAATAATTAATTAAAAACTTTAATTATTGTAAACTAATTCAAAAAATATAAGAAATTTTTAGACTAAAATAAATCTTTTTTCTCATCTGTTAAAAATATTAGTATTTGTATTTATTTATTAAATTTATTTATGGGGAGGATATGCAATTTTTAATAGTTAATAAAATAGATTTTAACCTTTGAGTAATCTCTTAAATGATTTTTCATTGTTTAGTTCTAAATTAGACAATTTAGCAACTGCTGCTCTAATTACAAAAACTAAACCAATTTTATTTAATAAACTAAAATCTTTAAATATTTATTAAGAAAATGAATTAATAGATGAAGTTCTAATTCCAAAGTTATTTGATAAATTTTATACTGAAGTTAATTTATCCTTTGTAGAATTATATGAAAAAATAATAAAAGATCTTTCTTTGGAATATTCCTAAGAAGAAGTGGAAGGATTATTGAGATCTGATATTTGTTAATACTTGAATCATATACTTCCTTTTTGCTAATTAAAAATAACATAAAATTTATAAGAGTTTATCAAAAAATATGGCACTTATTAAGATGAAGATAATAATGCTGAATTTGTAAGAAATGGCATACTTACATTAGTAACAACAATGTAATAATTTTATTAATAGAATTTTGCTTACGAAATATAAAATGCAAATTATTTTAATAATATTTCAGAAACATAATTATTGATTAATAGTTCTGAGTTTAATGTGATAGTTTTATCTCATTTTAGAGACACTTATTATTGTTTCATAAGATTTTTGGAATTAGTTGATGGTAATATAGAATTAATAAAAGAGATGGATCTCTAAGTATTACTATTATATTATGATATAATAATAGTGATTTATATGATTTTATTTCATATATATTATTCATTTTGGATAAATAGGAATGTCAAAGAAATGAGAAAAATAAAACTTGCATTAGTAGCAATTCCACATTTTTAATTAACAAGTGATCCTGTAATAAATATATTAAAAAGATATTAATGATATGCTCTTATTGTACTGAAACTAATAATAAAACATTTGATTTTCTATTACATTTTTGTTTGTAATGAAATTTCAATTATCGTTAATAATTTTTATAATGTAGTGTCGTAAAGTCGAACCAAATGTAAAAATGAATTCTGCTAGACTTATATAAAGACCAATAGAGACAAATCAATTAGAAGAAGAGATCGTCAACATAATGAAAAGTCCTGAAAAAAAAAGTCCTCATAATATTAAATCTGTCAAAAGAACAACGTCTGGTCCAATTATAAATTTACAACAGCAAATAATCTTTTAATAAGCCGGGCCTATAAAAGAGGCATAAATTTAATAAATGCCAAAGAGTTTGATAAAAAAGAAAAAAAAGAAGAAGAAAGCTCAAAAGAAAAAGAAAGTTTAACAATAAGAAAAATAGTAATCAGAGTTAAAGGTTTAGTAATTATTAAAATAAAATCTGCGTAAACATTAGAGTAAATTTATTGTTTATAAAGTAGAAGAAAAGCATGAATAATAAGTACAAGATGAAATATAAAAATAAAGAGTAGTAAGTGTGAATGAGATAAGAAAAATATTTGATCAACAAATTCGATTAATCAATTAGTAAAGATTTTCAAGAGTAAATTAATGTTCAAAAATTTTATTAGTAAAAATCACCACCTTCAACTTTACTACCTTGGGGAGCTGATTAAAATAAATTGAAATAATATTGGACAAAAATGTTGGAAATTCATGATAAATTAGAAAAGCCGATAGTTCCCAATAATATTTGCTCAGAATAAGCACTAAAGGAAAAGATACGTAGACATAAATTAGGATTAGATTTTTTGAATTCTAAACCTGAGAAAGATATATAAAAGATTATTCAAAGTAAGATTTTATATATTATAAGAATAAAAATCTAAATAAGTATAGGAATCTATTTCTTCTTCTCCTTAAAAAAATAAGAATAGCAATGAAAAAAAAGAAGTTGAATAGGATGTGAAATTATATATGATGTACAAAAGAGAACTTTTGCGATAGCAAAAAATAGAAGAGTATTAATTAAATATAATTTTAAGAAAGTAACTTCAAAAAATAAAAAAAGAAAAAGTTCTTTAAAATCTTTAAATATTAGATAGAGAAGCAAAATAATTTGCAAAATCAAGAAATGCCTCAATAAAATCAAATTTAACTGTTTAAGCAAATTCTCAACATATTTAAATTCAATCATAACATTGTCGAACATCAGAACCACCAAATTTTAATAAATTATAAAAAGAGTATTAGGAATTAATGAGATCTCTTAGATAATCAAGTTATAGTAGCACTTAATCACATACAAGAAAACCTAGCTAATTAAATTTTATAGAATGGCTTCAAAATTTACCTGAATCTTATTTATAAGAATAATTAACTTAAATGTAAATAATAAATGATCAAATGAATAGTTAAGGTTTTTCATATAAATTAAGTGAATAAGAATTATATCAATTTTTAGAATAATTTTTAAAGGAGAAATTTGAATAATAATCGAAACTCACTATAAAAGAGAGATTTTAAGAATTTTAAGGTCGATTTTAAGAATTTACTTCATAATAAACCTAAAATTAATAATAATAATTATTATAATAAAGTTAAAGTCATCAAAGTATTATAAGTAATAAAAGCAAATAACAAATATAAGAATAGCCAGATTCTTCACCTTAAGATCAGTCATATGATGAAATTAGTGAAGAATAAATGGAGTAAATTTAGAATATTGCTGCAACTATGATTTAAAAAGTTTGGAGAGGTTATAAAACTAGATAATTAGTTTTTGAATATCTTTAATATTTAATATAATAGTAGTAGGAAACTTAATTATAAGATTAAGAAGAACACTTTTAAGAAGAAGAAGAATTAAATGAATAATTGTAAGAAGAAGATCTAAAATCAATAAATTATGCTTCAGAACCTAAATAGAAGTAAAACTAAGTTGAATGTCTTTAAAATGATTCTGCAATATCACAAGATCAAGGGTACGTTTCTCCTCTTTCTGATACAATTCATTAATAATTCCTTTAATAATCTAGTCCTAAAGGAAATGCAAACATTCCTCATCTCAATTTAAATTAATTCTCACAATAATAATCTACGGTATAAAAATCTAATAACAATACTCAAATAGAATAGTAAATATAATTAAATTGTTAATCATAATCTGAAAATAATGAATCAGAAATAAGAAAAATCTAAGATTCTACAAATTCAAAAAGGATGACAAATTAATTATAATCAAATTAAGATCCTGATTATTATATTTAAGTATTTAAATCTCGTGAAGATATTTTATAATAAAAATTTGATTAATAGGTAGCCTTATTAGAAAAGATGGTAGAAAAAAAAAAAGTTTCAAATGATTTGTTTAATGAAAACAAAGAAAAACTTGAAAGAAAATATAAAAGAGAGAGAGCTAAATTACAATAATCGAAAAATGAAGCTGAAAGGCTTCAATAAATGTTTAAGGAAACAATAAAATCTACATAAAAAGATTAATAATTTATGGAAAAGATAAAGATGTAATGTGATGAGGATAATCTTTCAATAAGATAAATTTTCTCTTTAAGATCTGAAACAGAACAATCAGACTGTGAAAATGATAAGAAACCTATTCCTCATTATGGCCTACTATAAAAAATAAGTATATGAATGTTATATATATAGAGAATGATCATTTTCGGAAATATCAAAAAAATAGAAAGTAAATTAGAAGTTTTGATTAGTAAATGAGTTTAGATGAGATATCAATGAAAAACGAAGAAATTTAGACAAGCACTATATATAATATTCATACAGAATCCTTGTCTCATTCACTACATAAATCCTAATAATTTTATTCTAATAATTAATAATCTATTCCTTCACAAGAAATTGTATAAATAGAATTTCATGACATTCCAGAAAATAAAGAATCTTAAATTATTGATTATAAAAGATCAATTATACCTTTTGATGATCGTAAAATAGAAAGTTTGACAGAAAACATTGTATAAAATATAATAATTGAATTTGCAGATGAATTAAATAATTTTCCTTTATAATCTCTAGGTGTGCTTATGGAATGGGATGAAGAATCATAGATTGATTAATAATTTCCTCCAGGTTTTTCAACAACACTAAACTTTGTTAAAGATTATCTAGTTTGTTTTAGTGAGTTTATTTAAAGTAATAATTATTATAATAAATAGAGCATTATTTAAATGTATTTATAAAATAGATTAACAGTCCTATAGGAATAAGTCCTTAAGATTTGTTAAAGAGTATATCTTTGAGTGATGTAAAATCAAATATTCTAGATGATTCAACATCTGGTCCATTATATCCATTAATAAAGCATATTCATTAAATGGAACCTCTTATTGATGAGGAGATCTGGTCTAAATTTAATTAATCATACTCTCTTAAATTGAAATATTATAATGATATAAATATTAGCGATTAGTTTAAAGAATTAGAAGTATATCATTTAAGAATGGTTTATGAAGCATTTAATGAGGCTATTAATTATGTACGCCCATTTGGAATTAGAGGTTAGCCATATCCTTGGAAATCTAATCCATTAAAGGTTTATTAAAATTTAACTACACCTGAAACAGTTGATAGAGCTATGGGATTTGCTATTTCTAAAATGCTTAAATGGGGATCCTTTTTATGTGGTTTTATTCCTGAAAAAATTGAGACACCTTAAGGAGAACTTATAGTCATTGAAGATGATTATTTGAATTAAATTAAAGAAGATAGATTATAATAAATGTTAGAATATGAAGTAAACCATTTATTTTATTTTAAGATTTAAGAATCTGATGAAAAATGGCTTAATTATGATGAAGAATAAGCTGAAGTTGCAGTCGAATTGGCAGATATAGTATTTGAAGCAATGTTAGATGAAGCTGCTGAAGAAATATTTAGGGCTAGTTCATAATAAGCCTTAATAAAAAAATAATTTCAATATTGATATAATAAATGCTTTTTTTTCTATTATTATAATTTTCAAAGAGACTCTTTTTGATTAATAAGTTCAGGTTCATAAATCTCAAGATTATTTTATAAGCTATTTTAATGATTATATAATACTCTTAATATATACCAACTCCATAAAGTTGTATACTCTATTCATTTTTGTAACTAATAAAAAATTTATAATTTAATCCAGCTATAATTTATCTCTCTATCGATTCTAATTTTAAAAATTCAAAATCTTTAGGGATAGTTTAATCTAACTTTTATCTGACTGCTGAATAAATTTCATCATTCCTTTATTAAGCAAAATATTCATCAATATCAATTACTTCATAATTTCCTCTTGAAATAACAAATGTCAAAGCTATAGTAAATATTAACCCTTTTAGCATAAATTATATAATTAAATTTAAAGTTCAAGATATGTATATATTTTGCAAGTAATTTTTTCAACATATTATTATATAATATCTAAATTTTAATACTTATCAATATCTTGAAAAGTCATATATGTACAAATGAATCTTAAACTGAATGAATTTGTGTTTTTCATACTATTTGAAAAGAAATTAATATTTAACCTTGTTTAAATAATAATCATAAGATTTAATAATAATTAGATTACCATTACGATAATTTTGCTTACTTTAAGTCATATATATAAGAAATTTTATTTTTATTAAAAAATTATTTGATATGATTATATATAAGAATATTTCATTAAATTATAATTAGTTTATTTCATCAATCAATATATGATTAATAAACATTGGTAAGCTTTAAATGATAAGTAAACAATAGTTAAGAATTATAATTTTGTGGAAAACCTATCACTTAAAAAAGGCAATGTAAAAAAGGAAAAACTTGAAATTGGATTTTTTAGTATGAATTTTGTCCAAATATCTTTAGACAACTAAAATTACAAAAGCTTAAAGCTATATTCATAAAATTATATATGACTTTCATA